CTTTCTTTCTTTCTTTCTTTCTTTCTTTCTTTCTTTCTTTCTTTCTTCCTTCTTTCCTTCCTTCCTTCCTTCCTTTCTTAAGGCAATTGGGGTTACGTGACTTGCCCAGGGTCACACAGCTAGTGTTAAGTGTCTGAGGCTGGATTTGAACTCAGGTCCTTCTAACTCTGCCTTCCCCTTTTAAAATAAAACAGCTTTTTCCTCATCCGCAGCTGCTCAGATTTATACTAATAATTGAGCTCTTGTCTTTTCTTCCTTTCCTGCTCTGGTGCAGGGTGTTCTAGGTCCAGCTCATTTTGGAAAATGGGAGGAGGGAGGGGAGGCAAGGTTCACTGATACTGGAGTGAGATGAGCCGACTTGATAATACAGGATTTCCCAAAAGTCTTAGTGCTGCTTTAAGCTTTAATTGCTTAGAAGCACTCCAAGTTATTAAATAATAATTGGAAGGAATACTTATACAGATTTAACCTTAGATCTATCAGATTACTAAAGTATTATATAGGGCGTCCCAAAAGTCTTTATGCCGTTTCATCTCTCCAATTATTACTGAGACTTTGGGGGACATCCTGTATAATGGTTTAGCAATCTGATAGATCTCAAGTTAAATTGGGATCGGTATGCCCTCCAATGGTACAGATCAAAATCTCTACACTGTAGTATGTCATAGATTTAAAGATGGAAGGTTTAAAGATAATGCCTGTTCCTACTGCAATACTCTGTCCCAGCCCAGGGCAGAAGAGCTCAGGCCCCAGTAGGGGCATTTTTCATGCCCTGGCACAGGGGGTTGGTGGTTGATTCTGGCAGAGTGGGCGCTGGGCCCCAGCGGTGCTGGCAACAGCACGGATCAGAGCTCTAGAAGAGTTAGCCAGGGGATTCATGGGTGTAGATACAGGCCTCAGAGGCTGAGTGGCTCCTGGCCACAGGGGCAAAAGGCTGCTCCATGGTAGCCCATTGCTTCCTGTAATGTAAAACTGATTGGTCCCTTCATATTGCTCTGAGCAACACTTAGTGATCATTTTATGATGGCATCATTGGGAAGGGGTTTGCTTTCAGGCAACAAGAGATAATTGAAAGTGTCTAACCAGCCCCTACAAACAAGAAGGGGGCATTCCCTCAGAGTCCTCTCTTGGGGTGAAGATTTTGTATTATCTCTTCCCTTACCATGGGATTCTCAGGGAGGAGGCAGTCTATGATGAAGATGAATGATTTTGAAGAAAGTGTCATCATCTTTGCTATTGTTCTGGTATTCCTGCTTCTGCTTCTGTTTCTGGTCATCTTTTTACATTGAGAGACCCACTATGAACTGCAAAAATTTGGTATTACCCATTACATAGACTCGATCATTTAGACCTGAGATTCTGTCCTTCCTGACACTTTTCCAGGTTTAGTCACTCCTTCAGGGAGTTGTTACATGGTTCCCCCCCCCCCCTTCTCCTTTAGTGATGCTTTTATCAGGCTTCTTGAATACTGGAAATCTAGGTTGACCACAATGACCCTAAAGTGATTTAAGTTAACAAAAGGTCCTCTAGACAAAGGTGCCTGCCAACAGCTTATGCTATCTGAAACAGATTAAAATATGATTGGGAAATGTTTAGCAAAATAAATAAAAATATAGTTTACTTATTGTTTAGAAGCCTTTATCACCAAGGACTAGAAAGTTGTAGAAGCAATATCCTAATACCTCCTCCCATGCAAGTTAGGCAAGTTTTTCCTTAAAAGGAGGTCATTTTGGAGACTTGGTAGGTTCATTGAAGGCTCAGGATGTTGACATCACTTCTTGACTGAGTGCAAAACACCCACAAAAAGCTCCAGGCACCCTGTTTGATACTTTACTGGTAAAAAATGATGGCAAATCAAGCAATACAGTATCACTCAAATCAAATCAAGGTAGCCTCAATGACTATTCTTGTTGAATGCCCTTTTACGGCTATGGCTAAATAAATCTCCTTTTCTTGACTGTTGAATGATTTTCAAGTGGTTCATTTTGTTCCAATACCCAAACTACACTATTAGGAAGTTGGCCTGAGTCAGGCCCAGGCAGGAACAGCCTGGTTAGAACCTGGAAATACTGGCAGTTTGGGTGCTGGTGATACCACAGATTCAGTTAACATTCTGGTCAGTGTGTTGCAACTGCTTCCAAGTGCCAAAGAAATAGATAGATTGGCATTGGGTTGCAGTCTGGTCTTCCAATTGTTGTGATAATGGTAGAGTGGAGAATGGTAGAGTAATGGTAGAGTAGTACCTTCATAGTCTAGTATGATAAGAAGGCAAGCTATAATGGAACTTATAAAAAATGACAATACCCCACCTGCTGGAAATACCTTAGTGCATATGGCCCTGACCATTAAAATAGGCAAGCCATGAATGTGTATGAATGGACTGAAGATATGAATACTTTCATTATACAAATGTACTATATATCATAACCAAATTAGAAACAGATCTTACCAGTTTTAGGGAAGGGCTTCATGCTCCTTTCTACCAATAATATCTTCTGATCCAAGTCACACAACAAAATACTACAGGCCAGTGAATGGCAATCATAAGGAATAATTAAGCTTTGATTGAATAAAACAAGAGATAAAATTGAAGAGCTATTAAAATCTGAAGAAGGAAAGGTTGAAGAACCTGAGATCATTGAAAATCTGCACTAACTGCCAAACTCCAGAAAGTCTAGTTAATAATGAAACAGATCAAAACAATACCAATGACTTAAATGATTTTGAATAAGAGATATGTTGAAATCTTAAAAGCCCTTTTTGAGTTTAACATAATTCATCTACTAGACCAGTTATACTAAGAGTAATTTTATAATTTATATAAGAGCATATATAATTATATATGATATATATGTATGATCTTATATATAATATTATATCTAACATATGTAGATATATATATAAGATATTTGTAATATCTTATATATAAGACATATAGACATAATATATGATATATGTAAGATCTTATATATCTGACATAAATATAATATATAAGATATATGCAAGATCTTATATATAATTATAAATAAGAGTAATTTTATTTTTATATTAACATATTTATCATTAATATATTTATATATAAGTTATATGAGAGTAATTTAGTGATCAATGTAGATTTTGTAAGGAAATGGTAGAAAATGAGCAAGAAGGTAAAAAATTTTTTAGCACCTACTGAATAGTTAAAAAGACATAACCAGTTGGCCAAAATTATACATCTGAAGATCATTCCCTTTCTTGAAATGACAGAAGACAAATCCTTATCCTTGAAATACCTTGAAATATTCTGGAGAACTCGACCTATGAACTGGACTACCATCATACAGCAAACTGTTGCATGGATAATATTGATCCATAAAAACTTAAAAAGAATTTAAATAGATGTTACCAGACTAACTGCTTGTAATTTCCAAGCAACAGGAAATGACAGCTTTTTAAAATATAGAAACCTAGCAGAGGAGATCATCTTACATAGGAACAGAATGATGCACATATCATCCCTATTGTACTGTGGGTTACTGGAGACACACTGAAGATGCTTTCATTAACCCTACAAGGCATGAGTTTACATCCTAATACTTGTATTAAACTACAAAAACAGTTCTTTTTTTTCTATTAAACATTAAATACAAAAAAAAATAATATGAAGGTAGAGACTTGTCTCAGGAATGTTTTTATCTGAACACTATTGGAAAAAAAAGATGAGATGATCATGATGCTAGTAATTAATAATGATGATGATGATGATGATATTTTGTGTCAGTATAACTCCTTAACTTTTTCTAAGGACCTTCACATCTATTTTCTTCACATGGTTTAATGAAAAAAGCATTGTACTGAATCTGGTAAGAGAGGGAGACCCAGAAGGAGTCACAATCCAGTCCCTATTCCCATATGACAGGCACTGGAGATAGAAAGACAAAACCAAACTATTTCTGCCCTTAAGTATCTTCTGTTGTCTTGGGGAAGAACACATGTGAATAAAAAAGTATGTGAAATATTTGCATGTTGTGAGTTTGGGGAAAGAGATTCTAGTAGTTAGGATTCATGTAGAAGATGATGCTTGAGCTGAGCCTTGAAGAAAAATGGAGATTGTAGGAAATGGAAATGATGGAAGGCATGCATTTCAGGGACAAAGTGTAGTTAATGTAAAAGTACCAAGATAGGATGGGGTATATGGAGTATTCAGGGAGGACTAGCACCTGTGGTATGAGGGCTTGCTGAGCCCTTTGCAGAGCTGCTTATCTATTTTTGGTGTTGATCTTTCATCCAACTCTCACTTGTGACTCCAAAAAGCTGTAGCTGTGCAAGCATGCTATATGTGCAAATTGTCTTGGCAGATGGGCTTAACCAGGTTGAAGATAACCAACAGCCCTCAAACCTGTCAGTGAATTAGGGGGTTTCTACCCCAAGCATGTGAAGACTTCCCTGGATGGAATGGGTAGATGAGAACAATTTGTTCCAACAGCCATGAAAGCGGTGCTACGGAACACTTAGAGCTTAGACATCAAAGACTCTAAGGTCATCTACTGTATTCCAAGCCAGCTGTCTTGACTTTTGGTCTTGACACTGAACTTAGATGTCTCTGGA